ATGTGTGGGTGTTTGTTGCATGCACAAAGCAGAAGGGAAAATAGTAAAGGTATACCTAAGTTTATTTGGTGAAATGAAACGGGGGAGCCTTGTATAGTAGGGATCATTCAATAAATGAGGAAAAGTTTTCTAGACAGAAAAGCTGTGGGAAACTCCTGTCTCTTGGCCACCAACATGACATCCAGACTGAGGAAGACCCAAAAACTTCAGGGCCACATGAGCCATGGCCATGGCCGCATTGGCAAAACAGGAAACACCCAGGGGGCCGAGGTAATGCTGGTGGCTTGCATCAGCCAGGTTACTTTGGGAAAGTTGATATGAAGAATTACCACTTAAAGAGGAACCAGAGCTTCTGCCCAACCGTCAACCTTGATAAACTCTGTATCCTGGTCAGTGAGCAGACACGGGTAAATGTTGCCAAAAGCAAGACTGGAGTTTCTCCTATCATTGATGTGGTGTGATCTGGCTACTACAGAGTTCTGGGGAAGGGAAAGCTCCCAAAGCAGTCTGTCGTTGTGGAGGCCAAATCCTTCAGCAGAATAGCTGAGAAGAAGATTAAGGGTGTTGGTGGGGACTATGTCCTGGTAGCTTGAAGCTACATGGAAGTTAGTTCATTAAAATGTCCACAATTTTAAAAGAAAGAAAAAAAAGCTGTGGGAAGATTTTCCAAGCAGTGCGGATAGCAAGTATCTATAATAATAAAAGCGTAATATGCTAATTACACCGGATGTCCTTCCAAACAAAGTCGGGGCTGTGAGGGAAGCCCAGGTCCTGGGTGCCTGCCTGCCGCCAGGGAAAGGAAGGCCTACTCTTGCACAAATTTTGTGCATTGGGCCTCTAGTAAAGGTATAATCAGTTGGGGGCATGACACGTGTCTAGGAACCATAAGTGGTTTCATATTACTGCAGGATAAGCCACCAGAAAGGCAAATGTGGAAGATGAGACTGGGCAGTTATGTAAATAAGGTTTAGCATGTGAAGGTTCTTGTATATTATGCAAAAATACTTTAGATTTCATTTCAAATTAGAATAAAACAAGAATTTTCAACAAGGATGTAACAAGATCTTTTTGTTAATAAAGGGTTCCTTAAAATGGGATAAGAGTTGTGTTGGAGGGAGTTGGTGTGTGGAGTATCAGTCTAGAATCAGGAAAACTAGAAAAGTGTTAATTGAAATAAGTGAACCTATGCTAGGGCAGCGAGTGTGGAAATGGAAAAGAAAAGGAGCATATTTAAAAGCATGTTTTAAATTTAGAAATTTAAAACATTTAGGAGGATGTTTAAGTGAAAGTATCAGAAGTACTTGGTAGTTGGTCAGAAGTGGTGGAGACCAGTGGTAGAGGTATCTAAGATGAGGCTTCTTATGACTTCCTCTTAACTGTTCATTATTTTGCCAGTTTTTTATGCTCAAGACTCTTGTCCTTTACAGCCAATAAACCATCATGTCTAGTTGTTCTTTGAATCTGTCTTTGAAATGATGTCCCCGCCCTCCCCAATGGTTATGTCACTTGTTCCTATTGTTCAATTTGGCTTTATCAGACTAAAAAATTGTTTTGTTTTGTTTTGTTTACAAGGAAGGCAAGCGCAAGATCTCATACTTGTTTGTGTCCTTCTATGTACTTACGCAGTCATTCAATATTTTGATCATTGATTAATCGTCTCTTTAAACCTTAGAAGTGACCTGTTATCTGGTAGAACTAATGTTAGATTATCTTTATCGTTTTGGAGTTGTGCCTAGGTCTTCTTGTAGTGGTCCAGTATCTACACCTGTTGGGATTTGGATGCCCTTTGGGGGATTAAAAATATCAAGAAAATAAGAAGCTTCCTGCCATCTTAATTTATATTTTTGTCAGTACACATTTGAATTACTAATATTTGTGAGAACACACAATCAGAAGCAAACCTTCCATTTTGTTATGTATTTCTTATACCTTTTGTGATTTTAAATTTATATCTCTATCAACACTCATATGTGTATGTATTTAGTACCAATAAATGACCTAAGAAAATATATCAGATGATTTTTAAATGACCTAAGAGAACATATCAGATGCTTTAGAAGGTATATTAGTTTTGAATTTAATTTAACCTAAAGTTAAATGAATATTAACTTTGGATTAAATAATTTTCTCTTTCCTCCTCTTGAAATTTAAACATTATTTCTCTATCCATTTAACCAACATTAGATCTATTATGTATATTCTTTATATAGCACCCATGAAAGAAAATAAAAAGATATTCATGGAGAAACTCCTAGTTACCATTATCATCTCAGGTGCACCCCTAATTCATATCTGGTTAGTTTTTTGGGAGAAAAGTTACTTAAATGTGTTTTATTAATTTATAGTATGAACTGGTTAATTTTAAACTATAATTTTCATTTCTAGTTTTTAAAATAAGCCAAGAATGTTTGCTTTCTTTAGGGCATTGAAAACATAAAAAATGAAATTGAAGATTCAACTGAACCTTTGATAGATCCTGTGTATGGACATGGCAGGTAATTATCTAAAGTCTTTTATCTCCTCAAATGGACTTTAATTTAAGAACTTGACTTAGAATAAAGTACTACGGAGCCAGAAAACTTTGCTTGTCGGTTGTTGACAGCATAAAGTCTTCGAATTTGAGCAGTCTTGTGCTGTATGCATTGCTTGCCTTATGTATGAAATATAATTTCCACTTTAGGTTTATATATGGAGTGCATTTACTATAGCACAGATTTTGTCTCGAGATGGCTGGGGAGTATTGTAACAACTTCTTGATGTTTCATTTATGAAACTTTATCAGATGAAATTTATTCATTTTGACTTAGAAATAAGTGTATCCTTACCTATTTATAAATGCTTTCCTGCTTGGGTGAAAATTTTTTTTCTTATTTTTCTCTATGAAACTACCCTCTTTCTCAAGCTTTTTAATAGCTATTCTATTAAAATTGACAAAACAGTGATTATGAACTCACTCTAAAAAATAAGTACTTTTTGCCCTGGCTGGTGTTTGCTAGATGGTTAGAGCAGTGGCCCCCACACTGGGAGAGTCTCGGGTTCTCCCTCTCTCTTTCTGTTTTCCTCCTCTTCCCTCCCTTCCAGTCTCTCTAAATATCAATGGAAAAAAATATCCTCAGGTGAGGATTTACAACAACAGCAAAAGTGCTTTTCTTTATAACTTTCTGCTTCAAAGGTTAAAATTAACACATTTCATCAAACACAAAATAACATTTATATATGTATTTTAAAAGGTGATTACATATAGTAAGTAAATCTAGGTATCATTTTTTTAAAAATTAATTTAAATATAGTATCTTAAAGTTGTTACATTTATGTGAATAAATAGAACAATAGATACCATTGTGGTGATTCATTTAGTGATTCAGTTAATAAGGCTGTTTTTCAGTGAGTGTATAAAATGAAATATACAAGGTTTTTCCTAACTTTGTTTCTTAACATAATTTAATGTAAAAAGTCATTACCGTATGCCTTACCATAAGGGTAATTTTATATGAAAATTAGTTTATTCATATTTTAATTACTTTTTAATTTTTATTAATAGTCAGAGCTTAATTAACCTCCTATTGACGGGACATGCTGTTTCTAATGTATGGGATGGTGATAGAGAATGCTCAGGAATGAGTAAGTATATTCTTTGTGTATTTATCTCATTTATGATTAATATTTAACTAGAATATAGTTGGTTGTTGCTCATCTGTTTAATGGCCCTGCATTACTTAGAGGTTAAGGTAAGTGCCTTATAATCGAAGAATCATTTACAGTTTTCAAGGCACCATAACATGAAGACGACTTTGGAGGCAAACTTGGCCTCAAATCCCAAGTTACTTACCATCTCAAGCGTTTAGTTTTTTGTATTATAAAATTGGGATTATAGGACTATCTTCTTTAGAAAGAGTAAAATATACATCTCTTTATATAATCCTAGTACATTTTCATGCAGCAGTATCTAAGTCTGGAACACTAGCATTTTGCTTAAAATTGAGGAGAATTACTATAAGTATTGTAATTTGAAATATTATCTTTGAGAGTCTAGTGGTTTTTCCTGTATTACTTTTAATGTAAATACTTTCCTTTAGGATGCTGCGCAAATTTAATGTCATTGGAATTTTAAACCACTACCATCTCCATGACTACCTCCATTTCTGGTCTTAGTTATTCTTTCCTGTAGCTTCATATATTGCCAGGACATTGAAATGACATACCTTTGGCCAATCCATCCAGTTAATGCACTGGTTCTCAACCTTCTGGCCCTTTAAATACAGTTCCTCATGTTGTGACCCAACCATAAAGTTATTTTCGTTACTACTTCATAACTGTAACGTTGCTACTGTTATGAATCGTAATGTAAATATCTGATATGCAGAATGGTCTTAGGCGACCCCTGTGAAAGGGTCATTCGACAGCCAAAGGGGTTGCGACCCACAGGTTCAGAACCGCTGAGTTAAGGAGACCTAGTATATTGCTCTGAATAAAATGTCCTTCAGCTTATTGCTCAGTCAGTCTAAATTCATGTATTTACACATTCAACTTATATTGAATAACTACTGTGTACCTTATATTGAAGTATGTAGTAGAGGACAGGAAGTTCCATAGTACCTATAGTTCACAGGGACATTTCTTTCTTTGCTGAGTGTCCGGTCGTCCGGTCAACCAATCAAAGCATAATATGCTAATGATATGCTAAGGCCCCTCAACCGCTCACTATGACATGCACTGACCACCAACTGCCATGACTTACTTTTAGTTAGGAAGTTTTAATTTCAGACCATCCTATGTGGTTACTTTAGGTCTTTGAGTTTGTAAGGCCCACCATGCAGCCTTTCCTGAGCTTGTCAGGTTTAGTATGTGGCCCCTTTTTCATCCACATTAATAAATAGCAGAACTGAGATTTGAACCACAGTAGTCTGACTCCAAATAACCAGCATATTTAATCATTATAATATACTGTCTTATATGCTACACTTAACAGAATCTTACGGTAATAAATGTGAAATGATTTGGAAGAAGTTTGTAATTACATTTCACAGTCGCCCTGAGAGGTCATTTACCCCATTAATAAGAGAAATTGAACTGAGAACTTAATCCAAAGACTCTTGTCTGTGATATAGTTAGTGAAGAAGACTTGGTATATCTCTCATTCAAGGAGAATGAGGACTAAGAATAAATTATGAGTGTTCACCACCCAAAGTTAAGTCTCCTTCCATCACCATTTATCCTGCTTTTACCCTTTCCTACCTTCCTCCACCCCCATTTCCCTCTGATAATCACCATACTTTTGTCTGTGTCTATGAATTTTTTTGGGTGCTGAACATACAATACACTATACAGATGGTGTATTGTAGAATTGTACACTTGAAACCTAATATTTTATTAGCTAATGTTAACCCAATCAATTCAATAAAAATTAAAGAATAAGCTATGAATTTAGTATTTAGCAATTAAATTGCTTTTAAAGAGCAATTGAGATAGAAGCATGATCACAGGGAGTAAATATTTTAGCATCATAAGCAAGAAAGTTTGCTGACAAAAGGATGGAATGAGAAGATTTCCATTGCTTGGTCATAACAAGACCAAGAGAGGGTATACATAGTTTTGTTTTAAAGGCCCGATCACCTAAATTGTTTGTTGGCCAAGGGAAGGGAACCTTTTTTAATAGAAGCGATATTAAATGGGATCAAGAGTAACAGTAACCTCAGAAAGATGCACAGTTTTTCTAAAACAGGAAGCAAGAATGTGATGAGAAAAGAAAAAGTCATTTAGAGGTGTGAAAGATTTAAATTGGGGAACTCTTAAGATTTGAAGTTTGCTGAGAGAGTGGACATTTCCAGGACATATAAAGACATGAAAGGGTTTGAATCAACTGCTTAAAGAAGGAATATAAAAAGGGATTCTGAGAGAAATTTTTAAGTGTGTAATGAACAGTAGATTTGAGATGAGGTTATGGAGGATAATTTAGAGTGTTACCACCGAGGAAAGTGTATAGTCAGGTTTTTTCCTAGCACTAATCATGGATCTGGCACTGGGAGAGAAAATGGATGCTGTGTGTTTTCTTGGATAATAGGATATCAATGCTTTTCTGTTACATAATAAACATATTTCCCCCCAGTTTGTCATTTCCTTTGAGTTTACTTATGGTGAACATTTAGATTGTTTCTCTTTGGGGTTGTTACAAACATTTCTACAATAAACATTTTTTGTATATATCTTTCTCCATATATTCAAGTAGTCTTAGAGAATAGATTCCTAAAAATGTGTGTTAAAAATGTAGACATGTGTTACTTTTTTTTACACACAGGTATACAAGTCATCTGTTTAAAATGTACAAGTCAGTGGTTTTTAGTATGTTCTTAGAGTTGTGCAGCCATCATTGCATCAATTTTAGAACATGTTTATCATCCCCAAAGGAATCTATACCCATTAGCACTCCCAGTAATTTTCTCCCCCACAGCTCCCTGTGTAACCTTTTGAGGAACTGTTAACCTTTGATAGACAATGCCAAATTACCTTCTGAAATGTACCAACTGGCAAAGTACAAACTCATGCTTCCAACAGTATAGAGAGTTCTTATTTTTCCTGCATCTTGGCAAACACTTAGATCTATCCATCTTTAATATATTACCAGTCAGTTTATTGACAAGTAATAGCCTATTTTAAGTCACATATCTCTGATTCCTAGTGAGCCCGTGCTTGATCATTTTTGTGTGTCAGCTTTTAGTGTTTTTTCTTTTGGGAAGTACCTCTTTATATCCTTTGGCATTTTTGGGCCAGGGGTTATTTTTTTTTAAATCACAATTTCTAGGAACTCTTTATAAATTCTCTCAGTTCTTTGTGTGTTAAATCTGTGTTGCAAATATTTTCCCTCATTCCATTCCGTCTCTGTTAACTTTGCTAATGGCATCTTTAATGTTTAGCTCTTTATTACTTTTTTTTTTAATGTGACCTTGGACAAGTTACCTAACCTTTCTGAGCCTCAGTTGGGTCAACTGTAAAATGGGGATAATAATAATTTAAAAATTCTGTATTGTTGAAAGTATTACATATTTCCCCCTTTATCCGGTTGACCTCTCCCAGCCTGCCCCTGCCCCCTAGCCCAGGCCTTCACCCCCCTATTGTCTGTGTCCATTGGTTATGCTTATGTGCATGCATACAAGTCCTTCGGTTGATCTCTTACCCCTAACACTTCACTCTTGATCTTTCTCTGACTGGTTTACTTCACTTAGTGTAATGCTCTCCAGGTCCATTCATGATGTTGCAAATGGTAAGAGTTCTTCCTTTATTACAGCAGCATAGTATTCTATTGTATAGATGTACCACCATTTTCTAATCCACTCATCTGCTGATGGGCACTTATGCTGTTTCCAAATCTTAGCTTTTGTAAATTGCGCTGCTGTGAACATAGGGGTGCATATATTCTTTGATTGGTGTTTCTGACTTCTTGGGATATATTTGATCAGTGGGTCAAATGGAAGTTCCATTCTTAATTTTTTGAGGAAACATCATATTGTTTTTTACAGTGGCTATACCAGTCTGTATTCTTACCAGCAGTGTACGAGGATTCCTTTTTCTCCACAAACTCGCCAGCACTTGCTGTTTGTTGATGATAGCCTTTCTGCCAGGTGTGAGGTGGTACCTCTTGTTTTGATTTGCATCTCTTGGATGATTAGTGACTTTGAGCATTTTTTCATACGCCTCTTGGCCTTTTGAGAAATGTCTATTTAGGTCCTTTGCCCAGCTCTTTGGCCCCTTGAGTGTGGCTCTTCCACAAAATACCACGTGTGGATGCGCACGTATAGTGCAGTTGAAACTTTGTGGCCCATGCGCAGAAGTTGGTTTTCGGCCTGGGCGAGTCTATTTTGAAGAAGTGGCGTTAGAAGAAGTGGGGGGTGTCGATCGGTCTGGCCACGGGAGACGCAGTGCAGGGAGGCGCGCGGGATTCGTGCAGGAGTTGAGGATGGGAGAGTTGGAAGAGGTCGACCTCAGCGAACGTGCCTCAATCAGATTGAGGATGTTTTTTAGCAAAGGCTAGTTTAGGAGTACCCTAATTAAGTTGATAACAATGTACCTACCTATATAGTTAAGTTTAAAAAATTTGGCTCTCAAAAGAAATTTCAATCGTTGTACTGTTGATATTTGGCTCTGTTGACTAATGAGTTTGCTGACCACCGACCTAGGAGATGTATCAGTAAACATATTGCTACGAGATATGTCTGAGATTTTGCTGACTATCTATTCTTCTAAGATTCTTATGGTTTCCCATCTTACATTTAAGTCTTTTGTGCATTTTGAGTTTATTTTTGTGTATGGTGTAAGTTGGTGGTCTAGTTTCATTTTTTTGCATGTATCTGTCCAGTTTTCCCAACACCATTTATTGAAGAGACTGGCTTGATTCCATTGTCTGCTCTTGCTTCCTTTGTCAAATATTGACCATAATGGCTTGAGTCGATTTCTGGGTTCTCTGTTCTGTTTCATTGGTCTATATGTCTGTTCTTGTGCCAGTACCAGGCTGTTTTGAGAACAGTGGCTTTGTAATATAACGTGATATTTAGTATTGTGATCCTCCAACTTTGTTCTTCTTTCTCAGGATTGCTGCAGCTATTTGTGGTCTTTTCTTATTCCATATA